CAAACCACAAATACCAAAAGATTAAACTATCTTGAAGCCCCACCCCCACCCCCACCCCCACCCCACCAAACCCACCACATAACAGTGCATACAGAATATTTATCAACACATGAGTGGCAATAAGATTGGTAAGTTAGAGTAGTATCCAAAGTGTGTATCCCTTCTCCTAAGAATATTGTAACACCTAAAACTAAGACCCTACTGAACTTCCCATCTTCTCTATTTCCCATTTAAGAACCTCCATGACCAGCAACATCTACGGGGTATCATTGGCCAGGTCAACGGCTCAATCTACCACTACCACGCAACACAAACCCACCTTAGGGGCGAATGTAGGAAGCAAGTAAAGATGTCTCATTGTTGTGTTCATCCCCATTACTGTTGTTAGAATCACTATTAGAAGTACGGTTGTATTGGCCGGCGTCTCTGTTTGGAACAGTCTCACCAGTGGAACCAAATGCCTGCAAAAGAAGCAACACGTTCATCAAATTCCCACCAACTTCCACATCGAAACCATCACTCTCCTCCTCCACCACCACCACCTGATTGTCATCTCTGTTGAATCCGTAGTCTGAATCGGAATCATATTGACTGCCTTCTTCTATGACATAATCTCCCCGAAACACTGCACCTGGCATCGACGATGTTATAGTGCTTATGACATCACCCATCTCACGTTCTCGCTCGAGCAGTCTCCATTTGTCTTCAAGAACCGGGTCCACCTCGCGTGGCCTAGAAGAGGGGTGCACTGCCCTAACATGTTTCCGGGTAGCCTTATAGTTCCCCACAAAAGGGCAGTTGTCGTGCATACATCCACGTTCCTTGGCATTTAGGAATTTGCGTGCGTGTTTAACCACAGTCCAGCCTTTTACCTGGCCACGACACAGTGGGCAGGCAAGATTTGCAGTCTCACATTTTTGAACAGAGAGTGAAGGAAGTGGTTCTGTGACATTTTCCTGAGCTTTCTGGTACTGGTCAAGGCAGTTAGAATAGCGGAAGCTGGTCCCACACATGTAAGGGCGGCAACCTTTGTCATAAGAGGAGCAGAGTAGGAGGACAGCATTGTGTGGAAATTCCATGCAAACTGAGCATGTTGCATCTTCCCAGTCATTCTTCTGGTGGTGTTTGGAACATTTGATCTGGTTCAGGTCCTCTGATTGATGGTGATTCAGTGAAGGTAGAGGGTATGGGGTGGATCTGAATTTTGATGCCGAGCTGCCTCTTCCTCCTTTGGTTCCCTTTGCCATTTTTCTATATTGAATGAATCTATATAAAGAAAAAGTGGCATTAATATTTCATGAGATTGAAAGAGAAAAGTCAATTCTTAAAAGAAAGCTACTGTCTTTCATGGACCATCTAGACTTATAAAAAGGGTTGTGTTTTGATTGATCAGAAATAATCATATTAATTTAACTTAAATGTGGGATTTAGAATTTGTGGGCAAACAAAAGCTTACCACAAAATATGTCTTCTGAATTGTATAAGACTATTGAAAAAGAGCTAATTTTCCCTAAAAACTATTTATATAGCAGAGGAAGTGAGAGGGCAAGATAAGTATTCAGAATTGTAACTATAATGCCATAAACAATGCAAGTTACCAAGAGGGAGCTGATTGATTTCCGGTCATGAAAAATATGTACTTCCTCACTAACCCAGTTGGGCATATTGAACCACAATAAATCAGCAGCACATTAAAGAAATCAGTACTCCCTCTGTCCCAAGAATCAGCAAGATCATCTTCATGCTACCCATTTTTTATTATCTCAAAATCATCTTACGGTTCTTACCAATATCTCTTTGAAAAATTTGTCCAAGTGAAATGTCAATTTCACTGCCCGACAAATGTTCTACCTCACATCCTATTAAATAGTCAAGAAATAGAGGCAGTAACAAACATAAAAACTCAAATAAATAAATTCAATGGTTATCTTCTAAAATGATCCTAAACCGATGCACTAATGGATGAACGCAAGAAGCAATCAAAACTCACGTATTCGAAACCACTTTAGACATTGAGAATCAAAACCCAAGTTGCACCGATACATGGATGAGTACTTACAGAGTGACATGATTAGGAAATTTATTAACATCAACTTTTCTAAATTTTATAAAACATTTTTGGTTGTGAAGACATCCCAAAATATCAAAACGGGTACATTTTGGGGACGAGAAGCAACACACTTATTTGAAAAATCCATCCAACATAGATCAGAACAATCGTCTAAAACCAACACAACTCACAAGCAAATCTAGATCTGCCAGCAGCAAAGAAAAACATCAAACTGTGAGCCAATGATGTACCCCCGCACAAAATCCAACCTTTCATATGAATGCAGGCGATTCAGTCACAACCACATGATATAATCTTATAATTATATACATAAACCAAATGAATTAGCGAGGGAGATTCAGAATAATGCAACCATACCCCACTAAGCAACAACGTGCCACAGAGGAACAACCACGTGAAGATACAGTTACCAAAATGATTTTTAATAAATTATTCAATCAACTACGCGGCACATATAATAGCCAAAACTTTTTTTTTTTATTATTATAATTTTTTATAAGATCAAGACATAAAACTCTATCCATGTTCTCTTCCACAAAATCAACTCAATAATAATAATAAAATAACAATGAAATAAAATAATCGAGATGATCAATGAAACGACGAGATGGAAGGTTCGTACCGGAGAATTGATCGGCGATGAATGAACGGAAGATGCAGAGCTAGGGTTTGATCATATGGAGAGTAGAGGAAGAGCGCGCGCGGGGAGATTCTCTAAAATTTGGGCGAGAAAAAAAGAAGAAGAATTTCATTTGAATTTGGGGAGAAGAAAAGAAAAGGGAATGGGTCGGACCGAATATGAAGCAAAATGTTTGAAGACAGTTTTTCTTCCACTTGTTCTCTTTTTCCTATCGGATTCTCCGCCCGGTTTTCTCCTTTGAATTGCCCTGCGTGGGATTCACTCGCGCATTTTGGGGGTGGGTATTGGATACAATACACTGGTGCTCGTTGCGCAGTTGGCAAGGCAAGGGGTGCCAAGAGGGTAAGACTCGAGTTTGATTCCTGACAACTGCGCTGGGTAAGTATAGGGCCTCTGCAAGTACTAGGTGCAGACTTCACTCTTTGTCATCAATCTGCGATTAAAGTCCAATTTACTTCATGTCAGTGATCATCCGGACGGGTTTGCGGTGGCCTTCAGGGATGGAGTTCATCCTCTTTTTTTTTAGAATCGGACCAAAACCGCTGGAGAATTGGGATCTCCTAGTACGGTCCGTGAAAGAGTTTCGATTTGCTTTTCCATTTTGGGAATCAGAATAGTTACCGGTTAATTTTTTTAAAACAATAAATTTTTATTTCTAATTTGTTTGATGTTTATTACAATATTTACTAACAAAAATAGCATGGAGCCTAATGTATACTTTGAGTAATATTTTACCAAAAAAGTGAACATAAATTAGTTTAAAATCAATTTTGAACCAAAACAAGAACGGGAACCAGCTGGATGTTAGAACCAAGTCAACCAACCTTACAAAATGCTAGTAACGTTTTCGATAAGGGTAATTTACCTAAATAGGACTAAAATATAATGACTTCCCAAAATAGGACCATATGTTTTTATTTCCCAATGTAGGACCATTAGTCATTATCTATTAGTCATTATTCAACTAAATGTCCATCATCACTTGGACATTATTCTTCTCACTAGTCATTATTAAGTTCTATTTAAGGAATAAAAAATTTTAAGTCCTACATTAGAAAATGACTTATGTTTTAGTCCTATTGAGTGCAAATTTCACTTTCGATAAAATGGTTACCAGAACTAGTGCAATCGGAACAAGTATTGGATCAAACCAGAACTATGCCCACCCCTTGTGTTGGTATTGTAAAATACTCCTATTATGAGAGGGTTGAAATTTTGAAGTACTTTTTAGCATGAGGTTGAAAATTTTAAAGTATTTTTTTATCATTAGGTTTTAACATTATATGTTTTATTTTGCAATAAAATATAGAAAGTCTTATTTTGATACATGAAAAATGTTTTAGTCCTCGTTAAAGTATTCTTTAATTCATATAAAAATGGTAAGTTCTTATGTGCAAATCTGTATTTGTAGTTAGGTTCCGTTGACACTGGCTTACGGTGACACTGCGGTGTTACTGTCTTTTTGGAATATCTACGGTCATGGGTGGCCCGGAGGGTGTGCAAAGTGGCCAACCGCACAAGGCCCTTAAAAATTTAGGGCACCATATTTTTAAATTTGTTAATAATTTCAAAGTAAAAGTATTCTAAAAATGTAAAATAGGACACAAAATGTAAATTTTGGACCGGGCCAATTTTATTTTTTGATTTCTCGGGACCGGCCCTGTCTACGGTGCATCGTGTAACCGTTCAAAAATTGATGTTTCTTACCCTTATCCCCTGCGTCCACACCAACTCACCTCCTTTCCATGCTGCCAACGGCAATATTATGACGAATGTTCCAAATTTCTTTCCAATTTCATAACCTGCATATTATATCAATTTCGCTTTTCTAATCGAAAGAAGTATGTGAAATTAGAACTGGTAGTGCAAAAAATAAATTGAAATGGAAGAATTCAATTGCATTTAGTTCAATTCTATAAAATTACAATTTCAATTCAGTCTCATAGAATTTCAATTTCAATTCCGTCATTTTCGTGTGCCAAACTGATCTGATCCTAAAAATTTGGTCAATTCCCTATTCAAAGTAAGCAACGTATGAGACTTTGAGGCGTGAGGAATCTTAATCAACGCCTCAACTCAATCTTCATTATGTTGTTGAATTATAGTTTTGGTACATTGTATATATGCTTCCTTTTTCTTTCATGAGTTCATGTCCTTATATTATTTCGGACTTATGCCATAGACTTTTTAAATGTTACGGAGTACGTGTATTATATTTTGACAATTTTCACTTGTTTTAACCTGTATTTGGTGTGAAAATAAATTAAAATCATTGATGAACTCCTTCAAACAACTAAGTATTCCATCCATCCCATTTTATATGCGTGTTTCGATTTACGATATTTGACTGGATTTATTTTCCATTCAATTTATAAGACAATTAGTAGGGAATTTAAATATAAAATTTACATGTTTAAAAACTATATTACGAGCTTTCTGAAACAGGCGATGACATGAATATATTATTTTATAAAATGACAAATCAAAGTAGATATAAAAAAGTGAATACAATTTTATCATGTGAAAAATATAGAAACCATTTAATTTAGGACAGATAAAGTAATTATATTAATATTACAGGAAGACACATTTTTTCAAATAATACATATAGTCGAAGATTTTAAATTGTTGACTACAAAAAGTCAAATGATAGTTATTTTCCGGATGGAGGGAGAAACAATTAGAAAAACTACAACACCTCCGAGTAACATTTTATAAACTTGCGCTACGTTTAGTTCGTGAAACTCAGAAGGAAAGAAAAATAAAACAACTTTTCCTACCTTTGTTTTTACCAAAATTAAAGAAAAGTTTTTTCTTTTCATCTTAGCTCAATTTCTCCCTACATTTCGTTTCCTACAACTATTTTTCTTTCTTTTTTCCCTTCCTAATAATACGGAGTAGAACAAAGAAAAAAAAATACTCTGTTACTTTTAGGTCATGTTTGGTTCCCGTTAACCAATCCCCATTTTTGAACTAAACATAGTGAATTCATTTGTGTTGCGCGGGTACTTTTTGTTTGTGTAGTTTAAAAATGTGAATTGATTTAGTGCGAAGTATTCATGGAAAAATGAAGCCAAACGACTTACAAAATGGTCACATTTTTTGTTTAAATATCAATGCAGTTACTGGACGATCTATTTCTTCAGTTCAACTTTTTTGAGTTACACTGAACGAACTTTGAATCTCAATTTAATAAAAATGATTTCATGAGATTTACCTTATTGTGAATGTTTGAGATTTAATTTTATTATATTACGGAGTAATATTCAATATAAATTGAGAGTAATTGATTATTAAATCATCCAAATTAACTTGAAAATGACACCTTCCACAAGAGACACTATGGCTGGTTAGTGTAGATCCTGACTTCCCGACGGCCACATCCGCCGGAGAGAAAGGAGAGGGGAGAGAGAAGAGAGAAATGGAGACAAGAGACTCCGGGACGGGGTGTGTTACGTAAAGTCGTAAATACTGTGATTTTTCAATATTATTACTACTTTTTTCGCGACCCATTGGAATCTTTATTTCCGCGCTTGTTTTGGTTATCTTGGCGAAAAACAAACCCAGCCTCTAATGGCCAGTTTTGCCACTATTAAAAGTTTAAAAACAAGATTGTTTTGTTTCCAAGAATGATGATCAAACAACCTCCAAGCCTTAACTTCATTTGTTTTTCACATGAAACATTCATTATACACAATAGAATGTCACTCATAGAAATGCAAATGGATCGGTGGGCAAATACAATACCTAGCGATGAATCTGGCTAGGTAGCAGCAGCATCTGCCGGGAGATCATCGTCTTCTTGGTATATGTTCTCAGCCATTTGCCAGATTTGAAGAATGTTGTCTTCGGCAACACTGGCAATGACCCAATCTTCACACGGATTCCATGAGAAGTCGGATATTTTACTGGTATGGCCGCCATGAACAAAGAGCAACTCTGGTGGCCCCTCTTCTGCTTCTTCTTTCGTTTGTTGCTCATCAATCCTGGACAGAGAAAGCAAATCCCAATAAATGGATGACTGATAGAGGGCAGCAACAATGAATTATTGACAAAATATTGAAGTCTATTTTTTGAAAAATTTTATGAAATAACTGATATATGAGGGTAATAGGGTCCTTTATCATCATCATTCGAACAGGAAACTTTTGAGCTATTTTTTTTACTGGCATCATATTAGCTGATTCGGCCATTGTATTAATAAGCTGTATTTGGTAGGAAATACAGCTGACGAGACAGATGATAGGTGGCCAAATTTGAAAGCCCTACCAAACAAGCCTGGATCAATATTTCACAAAAGGAGCACAAGCCTATACATAGACCACATTTGAACTCCAGATCATACTGTGATAGAAAAATGAAATGTTTTTACACTGAACAAACTACTCCGTATATTTTATGTTTTGGATCAGTTAAACTGAGTCTCTCCTTTGTGGCACACCCTTTATGAGCTACGGCAACTCCATTCCCAAGTAGAGCCATTTATTAGTCATGCTTTTTTCTCCAAGCAACTTTTGATAAAATAAGCAAACAATCATTTCTATATAGTTCATAGGCACACTCGCATCTAGATTTGCAGTTGAGCAAACATCCATAATGCAAACATTTGCATGGTGATGGTATTTGCAATAGTGAAGGTTGAAGAACTTGACGGTTGGTTTTGATGGAGACTTTCAGGTAGGAGTGTTTTGTGTGGCTAAGTGCCTAAGTCTATGTCTTGATCTAGATTTATAATTGTATAAAAGTTGGGGGAGTAACATAATCATATAACATTTGAATCACCCTACCTAGAAACATTCTATTTGTCAAGGTATAGATCAAGACCTCCAAAGCATTCCCTCTGAAACTCTACATTCAAAGTGACACTTTTGCTTGGAGGGTAGATTGTGGGAGGAGAGTTTTAAGCGATTAGTATATATTTTAATATACACTATTTGATCACATCTCAAACACTTGCTTTTATTTCAGGGAAAATTCTGGTTATCAAGATATAGACTAGTTACAAAAATCAACTTATTGGCCATCTTCTGTCCTAGATAAAAAAAAATTAACCACTTAATGAAAAGGCTCAGAACAGAATATGTAAATAATGTAATCATGAAAAAAATAAATGTGCTGCAATCTTTATTAATCCAAATGATACCTGCTAAGGTCCCAAACCATGACTCTTCGGCCAAGGCAACAAGACGCTAAGACAGTCTCATTCTTTGGATTCCACCCTACCTGAAAAACATCCTCCCTGTACAAGATTTAGAAATTAATTAACTGATTTCTAATGAGCAGGAAAAAAATGATCAATGGAACAATTCCAAGAGGGAAGAGTAGAAATTTACAGTGCTTGGTTCAAGAGGGGTGAGAGGGATAACGCTGCCCTACTCTCATCTGGTTAACAACATGTGGAGAGTAGGGAAGCTATAATATTTCTTCCCCTCCCGCAACCCCATCTAGCCAAACACACTTTTATACTTTGTATAACCCTTTCCCTACTTTCCCTCCACTCAATTCAAACAAACCAAACACGGTAACATTAAAATCTTTCACTCTCCTCTTTCCTCTCCTTTCTCTTCCCTTCCCTCCCCTTGAGCCAAACACAGCCTCTTAATAGAAATGCCACTTACGTATGGCTTCCAAGAGTATGTAGAGGAGAAGTGATCTTGCGAAGGTCAAATAACTTGACAGTCTTATCAGTTGATCCGGTCGCTACTACCCATTCATTAAACGGATTGAATGCTAAGCAGTTAACCTAATACACATAAATAAATCAATAAATATATACATGGATATAAATATACATAATCATACAAAGATAAAACAGTACACTAAAGCAAAACCAAACAAACCCAGTATATCCCACTCAAAAGTATGGTTTCAAGCAAGATGTATGCAGACTTTACCTCTAGTCAATGGAAAGAATCATCTGTACACAAATATGCAGGCTCCATTTGATTAGTCAGTACTCACCTCTCCATTATGAGCAACTACAGAATGAATAGGCTTGGTTACTGAAGGTGTGCGCAAATCCCATATGTGTAGATACTGATCATCTCCAACTGAACCAAATAAATATTCATGCCTCAAATGCCAAGCTACGTCTTCTACAACCCCATCATGAACCTTTTGCGACATAAAAAGGAAGGCACTGATCAGAAAATAAGAGATGATACTTAGAGGAAAGAGTCATATATTTTGTGTTCTAAATATCTAATTCAATTAGTTTATACCATTTAATGCCTCTGTATACCTTAAAGATCTGCATGGCATCAAGGGTCTTATTTTTCGGAGTGGCACTAATATCCCACAAACAAATTTGGGCATCATCTGAGCCACTTAACAAATGACCTTGCTTGAACTGACTCCAGGACAGACCGTATCCTTCAGTGTTGTGGCCCTTCAACCTCAATTCAGGGTTGCATGCACCATCCAAAGGGGGTTTAGATGGATGCTTGCTATAATCAAAGACATAAACTTCAGCACTGACTGTCTTGGTGGAAATAATAAATGGATTTTGAGGCATGTAACGTGCTCGGTTAACTTCTCCATCATGATTTATTTGCTGAATTATTTTTACCTGCAAAAGCAAGGCTTAGAGTCGGTTTGGCAATGGTTACTTAGCTAAGGTGTCTAATTCTACTGAGTTTCAGAAAGGAAAAGTGATTGGTAAAATCAATTTAAGCCATATAAGTGAAAAGACTACTTAATCTACCAACAAGCTGAACAAGCTGATTAATGATATCATACAAGCCTTATTATAGTATGAGGTGATGGATGACTGTATAGTTGAAGACGGGATTGTGGATTTATGATTACACTCATGCAATTATAGGAGACGTGGAAATCAAAAGCACATTAAAATATGTCAATTAGCAAACATCAGCAATATAATAAGTTTGAAAGCGGAAACGGATTACAAAATGTAACTTGAATGTGGTTTTGAAGGTCCATTTATTTTTCAACTTATTTTTAACGAGCTTAAAGTATGAAGTCTCGTCGTCTTGAGGCTGGAGTGTAAACCAAATTCAAGAGTTTTGGAGAATTGAGTTTTGAGGTTAGAAAATGAAGCTGAGAGTCTGAAAAGATTGAATTTGAAAAATGGAGTTTGGAATAATTGGATTTAAAAGTTGAAAAGAAAATACCATACATACAGCTAAAACTATTATGCATTTATGCAGCCCAGAGACAAATCAGACATGAGAGAAGCAAAAAGAACTTGAAACAAAAGATCGAGCAAGAGCTGATTCCATACCGTCCCATTGGCACAGCCAAACGAGCCTACATCCGGCCGATCATCTTCCTGGCGGCGATCAGGATTCTCAGCGTCCTCGAGCGGGAGCTGAATCTGGGCGAGCATGAGATAATTCGGCTCATTCTCTGAAGTGTGGGTCCCGAGAATCATCTTCTGAACGGAATAGTCCTTTCCGGGAGGCTCCTCCCGGCCGGGGAGCCATTCGACGGTGAGAGAGGGCCACTCGAGGGCGTGAGTGACGACCAGATCGTAGAGAAAGGGAGTGTTCTTCTTCCATATCTTGTACTCTTCGTTCACTAACCTCTCCTCGATCTCGCTCCTCATCTCATCGTCGTCCCTCCCCATTAATTTGCAGCTCAATTGATGCTCTCTTTTTTTGCAATCGGAGATACTGGGAATTTGGAGGGAAGATTCTTCCAATGGAATTTCAAGAGTATTAGTACAAAACCGGATTAGGGTTGTTCCGCTTATTTTGAGTTTCTTGGGTGTAAAACAGAGAATGTTAGGAAAAAATTGAGAGTAAATGGTACTCACTTCGTTTTCAAAAACATTTCTTCTTTCATTTTTTCCACTTCCAACAAAACACTTTTACTTTTTATTAAAAAATCACTTTTATCCTTACTTTTTCATACCTCATCTATCACATCATATTTTTTCTCTAATAATCTATCCATCACATCTTACTTTTACCTATCACATCAGGGCAAAATTGAAAGTCAACTATAATTTTACACTTCCTTATTTTGATATTTCTACCCAGGACCCGGTCTGAATCCGGGTCCACATAAACTGATCGGTCAAATTCAAACATATCAGAATGTAAGATTTGAACTAAAAACTAGACTACCGGTCGGGTTCAAAAAGTCGACCGGTACAAAATATAGACCTACCGGTCAGAGTACGTGATTTCATGCTTGTGGTCTTCTGCCCATTCAGAATGCGGAACAGAGGTAAACCTACTGGGTAGGTTACTACGGTGTAAAAGTGTCAGCACAAATAACTCCAAAGTCGATAGGACGGTAGTGGCCAATTTTTAACAAAAGATCACGAGAATATTCCAACATCCTCTGCATGGCGCTACGCGCCAAAGGAGGTATCATCAACACAAAATGACAAAGGAATAGGACAAAGCGCTACGAGACAAGAGGAAGTCACCTCACGGCATCTGAAAATATGGGCTGGTGTGGACGTGTGGCGCTTTGTTCCCTCCATTTCATTATAAATACCTCTGTAACCCTCAAATGAATGGATCCAAACTTTATCTCTCTAGAGTTCATATTGTAACAGCTCACAACACTCTTCTCATACTTAATAACAATTATACAATATGTGTTTCCACCTACAGTCCTCCTGGTCACTCTTGTTTTTTGCACCTCTTAATTCTCTAAGTTCAGCAAACTATTCTAGAACCGGTCTAGTACAGTTTACCCGGGTGGTTAATTTACACCATCACCCTCCTTAATCTTATTACTTTTCTTACGCCACTATTCAACTCATTTCTCAATTCCCACTCACCTTCAACTCTTAGATCTATTTTTTTTAATTGATGCTTTCCCTTGTTTTCCAAATATTATATTCCCTTTAATTTTGTTAATAACAAATTAGTTGGCTTACTTTATTCATCCAATATTTTATATGTATGACTTCTGTTCAATTTCTAAATTTAATAAATTTAAGACATGAGATTTTGTAATTTTTTTCAAGATGGTAATCCGTTTTATGAAGAACTGAGGAAGTAATGTAATTAGTTCAAATGGTAAAATAAAAGTAAAAATTTAAAAATATAATATACTTATTAGAAGGCAGACACAGATTTGAATTGTATAGGTTTTAGTTCTAATCGGGTTCGGATATTATCGGTTTTGAATCTAATCAGTTTCGGATTTAAATCGGATATGAATTATTTAGTTCAGTTTCAGCTCGATTCGGATCATTTTGGGTTTTTGGTTTCAGATCGGATCTTCTTTTTCGGATCATTTTCGTTTTAGTTTCAGATAATTCGATTCGGGTAATCGGTTCCGGTTCTCTTTTGCCAGCTCTAGCTAATCACGCAATTGGTTCATGATTGACAAACATAAGCCACCAAAGTGATGTGGTTCGGTTTAGGCATTTCTTGTCTCAAACATTTTCATCTATATATGTGAGGGACTATCCTTATATAGGCTCAAAACCATGTAAAATGAGTTAGAGTTAGAACACACAATTGATGAGCACAACCTTTTTTTCATGTTTAGGAGCTTTTTAGGAGCTTTTGGAAAGACATATCCGGACAGATGGGCTCCTTAGGAAATCACTTGTGAACAGACTGTTAACAACATTCTAAAGCTTATTGAGATCGGGATGTTTTCACTTGTGTCCAATTACACGCAAGATGTTATGACATAATGCCAATCACAGGTGTTTCATAAGGATACTCAGCGAGTCCTTCATTTGTTCAAGGAGATGAAAGAAGCCAATCTCCCTAAAACCAAAAGTATATCAAGTATGTCACTTTAACAAGTGATTAATTTAGACACAACTATATGTTTTAAAAATAATAATAGTAACATGAATGATTTTTATGGAGCATGAGTATTATTGATGAGGACGATGATAAATGAACCAAACTCTAGGTAGCGATTCCCCAAAGTCCCACACTGGAAGTTTAGGAGTAAATGAATCAAAATATATAAGTTCACCCAACCCTATTAGTATCAGGCCTGTTGGGAGATATGAGAATTTGGCCAAGAGCGGACAATATCATACTAATGCGGGATTAGGGTAAGGACATGCGCAGTCCCAACACCATGGACATGACACGTGAAACGTAACTTGATCATTCCCCAAGAAGACAAAGAAAGAATCCAATGGACTAGAAATCCAATCTTAAACTTAGTCCAACTTTTCCCTAACTCCATATTCAGAGTCTGTTCTTTAGGGCTCAAACTCTTACCTTACAGTTCCTTTTAACAATTCTCATTTTCTTCACTCTTTCTACACCCCAACCAATTAGTCTAAAAATAATTTATTTTTAATGTGATTATTATTATTATTATTACAATTATTATGTTCATAACTATAGTTTATACATTATTTTTTTCATCTCACTATTTTAATGATTTACACTCATTATTTTTTCTTCAACTTTTTAGTATGAATAAACATTTTTTTGTATATTAATCTACATGATAAAATAGGAAAATATCAATATTTCAAACTATTTTAAAAAATTATGGATAAACTAGTTACATAGAATGTTTTATTAATCTAACTTTATATAAGACCCCTCACCTCTCCCTTTATTACTCAATTTTTTCTCATTTTTTTATTTAAAAATTTAATTTTTTTTTCATTTTTCTAATTTTTATAAACAGAATTTTGAAAGCCAGAATAGTTTAGAGAAAAAAAACTGAAATAGGAGTAAAACATAAAAAAATATAAAAAAAAGTTCTATGTCTTTATTCCAAAAATAGAAGTTAAATGAAAATAAAATGTCAATCATGAAAGAAAAAATAGGTATGATTACATTATGTGACATGTCTGATATTCAAAATAAAATCTTGTAATATATAAAGTATAATTACAAATATATTATTTTATAATAAATACTGCATAAATAAATTGAAGTACAACGTAACCACAATACCTTTTTAAAATTTAACATTTTCATGTTTATGCTAACTTTATATTATAATTATTTTTTTTTGCAAAAGTAATTTTTTTGTGTATGAAAAATAACAATACATTTTTTTCATCTTAAAGGCATTTATTAAGATAACGTGATGATGATGATAATGATGATGATAATGGATGATAATAATAATAATAATAATTTATAACAAAAATAATTAGAATGAGAATAATATAAAAATACACTAAAATAATTTTTTAAAATTTTTTTTAGGTTTTCCAATTTTTTTTAAAATTTTTCTAGTTTCTTCTAATTCATTCCAATTCCTTTTAATTTCTTTCAGTTTTTCTAGTTCCTTCTAATTTTTTTTAAGTCTTTCCAATTTCTTCCATCCAAACTCGTGTGAAGCCTAGCTAGCAAGTGTATCATTAACCCGTCACAATGACCATAAACGAATGCAATGCTAAGACCTGACCTTTCTGGAGAAAAAGGAACCTGATTACCAGACGAGTATCATTTTCACCGCCATCAATTGCATATTCTTCTTGGTGTAATTTGGAAATCAAATAGGTGTGGTTTTGGGTCCCATACTGCCCCCTTGGCATAAAGTGATGGATGAGGACCAAGGGATTTAAGAGAACTATGACAATAAATTTTATCATACTCCCTCCGTCCCAAAATATTCACAACATTTGTTTTTTCAGCAGTCGCGAGAACTTTTGTTTATTTCTACGTTTTCATTGGTTATTTGATAAAATAAAATATTCTTGACACCTCTTATTTCGAAGAACTTTTCATGTAGTATTTTGATATGTAAATTTTATTTTTTATTTATATACCAATATGTAAATAAAATGAATTGAAAAAACTTGATATTTTGTCTCGGAAATACAAGTGTGGCAAATATTTAGGGACGGAGGGAGTATCAAATTTTGTAGTCAAAAGAAAGTGGGCATTATTGTTGTAATTCATTTAGGAACCACAAAATATGAAGTTTAAGCCCGACCGACCCGTACCTAAAATATGAAGCCCAAGCTGCTCTGGCGGGCTTTTAGGGGTGGACCGGGTGTCCATACCCGCGTCTAGAAAGGAACCACAAAAGCTGACCTTCCCCAAACCCTCCCTCCCCCCTCATCTTTCTCTCTGAATCTCTTTCTCTTCAAGGAATCAAGGCTCGAGCTCGTTTCTTCTCTCTTTCAATGGCGACTGCGGTGGTCACTGCTCTACTGGCAAACGTCTCTGTGTTGAATGCGATCTTAGTAACAAGTAATTCCATAACATTCCCCTTGAGATTTGCGTCAAATCACTGTCGTTGAGTTTGATTGAATAGAATCCAGATTTGTTATGCGTGTGATTGAGATTATATGCATAGTTATCACGGCGTCGCCTAGGTAGTTCCTAACTCGCCGCGTTCAAATTGCGATCGTCAATCTCCTCTGCCATCTCTTTCGATCCCATCTCATATTCTAGCATCAGTTTTATTCTGAAGTTTTTGAAGTTTTTTTTTTTCTTCCCTAAACCCGAACATGCTCCTCAATCTTACAAAAGTGGGCTTCATTGGACTCGTATAATTAGGGAGTCCGAGTATTGAGATTTGGAAAGGAAAGACACAACCTATAGAACAGATTCTTTCTGTTCAAGTAAGGTAATACTAACTCCGTTCATGAGTATTTGTCCATTTTGACTTTTTTCGGTCGAACCGTTTTCAATCTTTGACATATAATTAAATAAAATGTATATTGTACATTCTTTATATATCTCCTTCCTGATCCAGATCCAGTGTCTCCCTTCCCCCCTCCTCGTATAGTTTCGTAATGTCGCCGTGGTATAGCTTCGTATTGTCACCCTGGAATAGCTTCGTAAAGTCACTGTCGGATACTACGGCAGACGAGGAACTTCTTGCTCTGGCATCTAGATAGTATTTCCATTAACTCGCAACCTTTTTTCTTTATTGAATTTGATTGAATGGAGGCCTTGTTTGAGTTTGTTTTTGATGTTGCAGTTAATACGAGGCATGCTGAGGCAGCCCAAGCTTATGCTAAAGCTCCTGCTGCCCAGGTTGCTGCTCCAGGTAAAAGTGATGCTCTCTCAATTAGGCTTTCCAAAGAGGTTTATGTTTATTTCCATGCTACAAAACAATTTGCAAAACTCATTAATGTCTGCTGTTTTGTCGCTGCTCTGTCTGTCCGAACAAACACCAGGCGCACGTGCTGCTCCAACCGCACTCGTCATGCCTAGCACAGATGCTGCTTGCAAGTCTGTTGGTTCATAACAAGTTGCTTTTTGCTTATATATATGAGTCTTATTTTAAGTCTAGAGGATGGATTATGTTTAGATATTGAGAGTTTATTTACTATGGCATTGTTGAATTATTGCTTTCTATGGTATATATATACAAATACAATTATATTCGCTTCTTCTGCACTCATGAAAGTAGTGTTCGTTGAACTATTGATCGATCGATGACCAATTTGCATATTTGACCAAAGTTCCAATTAGATGTTCATTTTTTTATAGTGTGTTGTTAAAAATCTTGTTGAGGAAAACTTTAAAAACATTAAATTATTATAGGAACTCTCATACAGGACACTATAACTTTGCATTCCTGCTTGCCTTCTTACCATGAAATTTATCCTTTTGAACTTGACTACATTTAATTGAAGGGAGCTGTGGTTGAACCTAAGGAGCCCATCATCATCAATATGTTCCTTCTGAACAACCTAATTGAACTTGTTCAAAATAGAACTTGATTTCAGACTGATGCTAGAAGTAAACCAAAATGGGGTGCCCTGTTTTTACGTTAAACAATGAGGTATTCTATTTGTATATCAAACAAAAACAGACATTCAGCGTTTGTGATGTCGGATATTGAGTATCTGTTTTTGCTTGGTGTACCAATATAGTACCCCATTTTGGTGTATCTGTAGTTTTATTGTTGTTCGATTTCGATATACGGTAATTGATCAAATAACAATATATGACCTAAGTCTCTGAGTATTTTTTTAGGTTTGACTTTTTGCAGTCATTTATTTTCAATCTTTGACATATAAATAAATTAAATACACATTGTATATTCATTTCATAAAATAATATTTTGAAATATTTTATAAACGAATCTAATAAAACTATTTTTTTTATCAATATCTAATATATATTTATTTAATTTTTTATCAAAATTTACAAATTTTGATAAAAACATTACCAGTAATAATGGACAAATATTCAGGGACGATAGGTAGAAAACGAAAGGAGTAAGTATTGCTCCAAAACGAAAAAGGGAAAATTATTCAAAATAATCTCAACTTTACCCCGTCTTTCAAAAACAATCTCACCTTTCACTGTGATGAATAATAATTCCAACTTTATTGAAATTTGTAATTTTTAGGCAGCCGTTAAGTTGTTAACGGTGGGTTAACGAAACGGTTTGTCTTGCGCATCAAAATGAAAGTTGGATTATTTTTTTATGAATTTTCATTAATTAATTTTATTTGAAAATTTTATTTAAATATTTAAAATGACTCTCTACTTCAATTTTTTTTTGTTCCTTTTTTAAAGATTATTCTTATCTTATAAAAATATAAAAATATCAAAAATGAGAAAATAACTAAAACTGTACAAAATTAATGAAATAGATAAGGCAATCAATAAAAATAAAATTGATATTGAAAAAAAATAAAAATATAACGAGTGGAGTTCATTTTATGCATAATACAGATTGCATAGTATTAATGTACTACTTATTTTTAGAAAGAACAAGTAAAGTTAAGATTATTCTAGATAATTTTTCTTAAAAATAAGAAAAGTGGTACATTAATGCTCTGTACAGTGTGCAAAATGTTAAAATCCACCACTCTATATATTTTTATTTTATTTCTTACCAGTTTCGAGTTAATTTCTATTGATTACTTTTTTCATTAATTTTGTATGATTTTTGGTATTTTTCTCATTTTTGTTTTTTTATATCTATTTTTTTTATTTTTATCCAAAGTTAGACTAATCTTTTAAAAAAATAGAAATTATGGAAGCAAAAAGTAATTTTGAAAAATAAAATTATAATTTCCAAAAAAAATTTAATAAACGAAAATATATTGAAAATAATCCCAACTTTCATTTTCTTGCGCAAAACAATCCGTTTTCGTTAACTCGCCGTTAGTAATTTAACGACGACCCAAATTTTGCAAATTTCGGTAAAGTTATGATTATTATGCATCATAATGAAATGTGAGATTATTTTTGAATGATCAAACAAAGTTAGAATTATTTTGGATAATTTTTCTTAAAAAAATTATTACACCATTTATACTTGGGGAGCGAACGGAAGTGTGTTTCATTTTACCCCTCTCACCAATTTTTTTTCACTTCTCTTTTGCAAATTTTGTAGTGTAACGCTTCAAAACATACCCTAAAATTTATTATTGAATTATTATTCAATTAATCAAAATTGTTTGGATTAAAATAAATTATTGTTGGGTTTTGGGCCGAAATGAAATATGTTTTTATATACCTAAAAATTACTTTTGAATTTAAAATAAAAACCCTACAGATTTAATACATACTTTTTAATAGTTTAAATTTATTCAATGCAAAATGCAAGTGTTAATATGAATTTAAAAATTTCAAATGCCAAACATGAATCCAAAATAACAGCAATCCGAAGTGATCGAATCTGAGTCCGACCTGATCGACTGATTTGGGAGCTATACTCCCTACCAATATCATTCTCTCACTATACCTCTAATTTCTGATTTCTCTCCTCTCCTCTTTCGGTCTCTCCTGCAGTCGCACACACAACAACACACACAGACTATATAAATCTCCCATCTTTTCTTTCAACACGGCGCAATCGAAACCGGCGTGTTTTTGCTCTCCTCGGCTCTATCGGTCTCGCTGCTTTCTGCGATTTGGACTTCGCATCACACATACGAACACACACTTCCTTGAAATCCTCCAACTGTCTCAATTCCTGGGGATTTTCCCCTTTCCTTTTCTCCTCCCTTCGGAAAAAAGCGTTGCAGTTGAATCGTTCGTGATTCGTGGAAACGGGAATCGAACGGCCAGGTTTGCCTGTGCGAAGGTCTGGGTTCGATTCGGATTGCAATCTTTTAGAATAGATTGGCTCTACGATTGGTGGCTCTTGGAGGTTGGGTTGTATTGCGGGTGTTGTTATCCGGTCAAGAAGGGTTAGTATTCATTTGATTGTTACTATGCCTTTGATTGTTAATCGACCTAGGGTTTTCTAATTTCTCTGTCTATTGAATTGGTAATTGGATATTTCACTTTTCTTTGGATTGAAAATTGGCCTGTTATTATAATAGGGATATACGAGTGAGTGAAGAGTTTGTTTGACATCGCTGAAGCAATCATCGTTTATTGAACTTGGCATAGATAAGGATTGTGTCCATAGTAATAGTATTGGTACTTGGATTAGTCTTTGCCACCAATGGTCAATCAAGTGTTGGCAATTTGGAATTATCTTCTTCAAGTTTGATAGTGGCTAGCGTCTGTTCTCCAAATCACTAGTTGGTGATTTTGTCCATCCGTTCAATGTCTTTTGTGCGGCCGTGATCACCTTCTGGGGCTGGTCATGGAAAAGGGTGAGCCTAAATTAGCACCAGAGTGGTTGAAAAGCATTGGGAATAAACCAGCCAGTGCATCTACGTCTCCATTGCAATCAGGTGAATGATTGCTTGCAGTTAGTTGAGTTTCTTTCTGTATTAATATATATTGTTCACTGGGTTTTGGCTATATTCCTTACAACGCCCTCCCTGCTTTTGTAGGTTTTATTGAAGGATCAAAGTTCACCAAAAGTAAGACCTCATCAAAAAATGGTACTGAGAACAGTTTAGGGAGACCAATTGGCAATAATCATGCTACCACATCCCATTCCTACCGGACCTCAAATAGAAGCAGTTCTGATCACCCTCAGTCTTATAGCAATTTTGGAAGAAACCGTCGTTCTAGGGACAGGTATATAGATAAGTTTGATAACTCTGACAAGACAAAGAAAAATTTAGAGAATAGAGCTCAGAAGGATGCCTTTATTAGGCCTTCTCAGGCAATAACATCCCAAAGTCACAATGAGAAGTGGTTTAAGAATTCATGCAGTGGTGAAAATAACAACAAAAGCTATTCCGATGGCCTTCTTCCTGATAAATATGAATCTGAAAGAGGTTTAGTGTCTCATGGTTCCGGAATGGGAAGAGCTTGCTCTCCCGGAGTGACTAATGTTAAGAATGGTGATAAATGGACATCACTTTTAGCAGAAATTCCATCAAAAGCTGTTAGTGATGTGCCCAATAGTGGGTTAGTCTCTTCATCTGTTCAAGTTGCTACACATTTTACCCTTTCATCAACAATGAGCACACCAAATGGTGCTGGTCTTAATATGGCTGAAGCTGTGGCAAAAAGTCCACGTGTTCAGACTACTCAGGTATGGGTACATTTGCTTTTTCCTTGCAGTCTCTCTCATAATCATGTTGAATGTTGTTGTGCTTATGTAGTGAGTTTGCTCAATGGCAGGTGTCAAATGGAAACCAGAGGTTTGAAGACCTAGCTATTAAGCAGTCTAGGATATTAATTCCTGTTACTCCTTCTGCACCTAAAGCCATAGTATGTTTTGCTACTGTCTCTGTTTGAAACTTCAGATAACTAGATAAGTTTGTTTCTTAATCACTCGTTGACCTTTGACTCTTCTTTCTCAATTTTTTTAATGTTCAAATAATGCGACTGGTTTGCTATGGTCTTGTTGTAACCTACTAAACTCTGAATAGTGTTGGCTAGTTATAACTATTATATTAGAGTTTTAGACTATTATAGTATGTCTTTCAAAATTCAATCGTCACACATTTGCTGAAATTTTTACTCTCTATATTACCTACAAATAGTTCATATGGCTTTTTCGCCTAGTATCATATACTGACATGGTGTTAGAAAATAGAGAGTATGTGGGCTGCTTATAGAGATCTTTGAGGATTAGTTGTCGGGGGGGGGGGGNCCCCCCCCCCCCCCCCAAAGAAAAAAATGATACGGGCAAATACAACTATGAAGAAGAGTATGATTTGATAATCATGGTTTATTATACTTCAATTGTTTTTTGAAGCATTCAATAATATTTCGGCCATGCAATTCATCCAGAATATTGCTCAGACCTTATATTGGAATTAATGGAATCTAAGAAGTCCTAGAATTTGCAGCTTCACACTCCAACATCTCATTTATTTTAGAACTACACTCACCCCCAAATATATTTGCACATAACTAGGGTAGTCTATGCTGCAGCTGTAGAACCCATGCTTTATAGAGTTTGGATTTCTCCATAGGTCTGCCATTAAAACCACTCCATGTGACTCTTGTTAGTTTCATTTGACTATCATATTATACTAGTATTTCTGTTTTTCTGCTAATGCCTCCGTGAGAGTGATAAAATAGCAATATGATAGCTTGAAGCCTCAAACTTCCATCAACACGAGTTAGTGAGTGAGGCAGTAAAGTACTAAAGTGACTCTTAATGATTAGACAGCATGATAAACACTAATTGTGTGGGGGGGGGGGTCACAGTATGCTTGAACATTTTTTAATGTATATCATTCACATTATCAGCACCTTAACCCAGCTAGTTGGGATCAATGGCATTACAAAAGACAAGTCATTTTATGCTAGATGGTTCTTATGTCACAACCTTCACCTTAACAGTTGGCATGTTCATTCACATTAGCAGTACCTTAACAGTTGGCGTGTTTAATGTTGTGGGCTTATCCTTTACCTTTATTGCTTGCTAATTCCATCCCAAAAGAGATTTTTTGTTTTAAAATTTACTTTTACCCTCCAAAAATACACTAGTTCAACAAAAACTAATTAGTTTATGTTGAATCTTACGGTTAATTTTGAAAAAAAGGTTCAAAGTCCAGTGAAGTAAAGATGCTGAATTTTGTGCAACAAACAAATTTAAAAACATCAGTAAGAAGCACGGTAAGTGGAAACATTACTATAAATAAAAAGCTCTTTTTGGATGTAACATGACCTTTTTAAGTCTTGGGAGAGGTATCGTCAATATCTGTCTTTTTTGAGTTCAGAGTACATATGTTATCAAGTATTCTAAAATGTGAAATGATTTTATTCTTAATTTCAGGCACCATCAGATAGGATCAAGTCCAAGGTTTCAGAGCCCCGTCAGCAGAATCATCCCCCGTCATCATCTCATCTCTCTGTGCGCACTGAAGGCTTAGTTACCTCCGATTCTTTAAAGACGTCTAGAAAGCTTCTTGTCCTCAAGCCAACTAGAGAGAGGAATGGAGTTTCTTCTCTTTTGAATAATGTTTCAGATCCAATCCAAGATATGAAGAATGCAACAACAATGCAGAGATCATCTTCTAACCCAGTGTCTCCCACTGCTGCTGAGAGTAAGTTTGAGAAGAAACTGTCATCTCAAGCTCGGAGCCGAAATGATTTCTTTAATCTTATGAGGAAGAAATCCATGGGGGACTCTTGTGCATCGTCTGACACAGTTGTTGCACCAGACACCTCAACAGCACAATATGTGACTCAGGGTCAAGATGGTGAATCTGACAAAAATGATGCTGTTGTTGACAATAAAGAGCTCATCAGCAATGGTAAGACTCATCCCAGTCCAGATGCACTTTTGTGTTCAGAAGAGGAAGAGGCTGCTTTTTTACGCTCATTGGGGTGGGAGGAAAATGCTGATGAGGGAGGCCTCACTGAAGAGGAGATCAGTACATTCTACAGAGATGTAACAAAGGTTAGCCATTATTTCTTATGGGTATGTTTGGATCTGGGAGAATGTTATATTGTTATGGAAATGGAAACAAATGCCAACAGGGTTTTTTTTTACTTGCGAAATATAGTTAACATCTATAAATAATTGTTACATACATTTGGAATTTAGTCTCTGATCCCACGTCTCAAAATAGACAACACCATTCTGTTTTGGTCCTTTCCAAGTTAAAAACCCATTTTCTTTATTGGCAATGGATGTGGGGCTATCATTATTTTTCTGTCAAATCAATTTTAACGACCATTTTGAACCCTGTTTTTGAACTTTGTGTGCAGATACGTGGACTTCAAACTGGGAAGGAGGGAGTGTATAATAGAAATGAATAAAAATGAGTTATGAATAAATATCAAAACAGTTCTATTATGTTTGAGCCTATGTTTTATTCTCTACCAAATTTTCTTTATCATGATTTTCCCTATGTACTTCATTTTCCCTTTTTATTTTCTTTCCATAGTGTTTTGTAAGTTCTAAGTGTACCCCTTTGGTATATTTGGTAATGGTATTCTTAGAGGCATTTGTTGATAAATTTCTTTATGGGATATTGCTCTTAATGCTTGTAGAATAAGACTAACCCGACCAACCTTTTCATAGCAGGATATGAAATGTGGATCTTGTTGGGTAACTCGTAAAAAAACGTGTAAAACCAGTCAATATTCTATCTCCCTTTATGTGTTGCGGTAGAAATGCCGCTGATGATGATAACATATTATTATTACTCTCTAAATACTGAATGTTTTTCCTGTTTTAACTTCTGCAGTACTTGAACTCAAAACTGCCCTTGAAAATTTTACAAGGAGTACAGCCAAGGCTTCTGCTCACGCTCAATTCTTGAATGTGGATTTTCAACCCCGACATGACAGGAATTTTGGAGTGTTCACGCTTTCTCTGCTATTTTTGCTGCCTCATGACATTAGGCTCTGGACCAGAGGAAATGATAGGAACCTTAGTAGAATATAGGAAGCATGGTAAGAACGAATGATAGGGAGGACATATGGTTTTGCAAGAAATAAGCTCTCTCAATGGCTCCAAATCTGATTATGGTTTTCTTCTTCTTTTGTTTCCTGACCCAAAAAATTTCAATGCTATTGCAGTTTCTTATATTGTTGATAATTTGGGTTTTGGTTTGTGTGTTTTGTTTTTTCTTACTTTGAGTTTGTTCTCCTCTGAAGATGGGAAATGCCCTACAAGTGAATTCCACATAACATAGTCACACTAGATGAAGGTCAGTGCCCTTCAATCGTGTGACATGCCCCTCACATTACACAATGAAGGGTATGTGCAATTCCATTTGTATGACACACAGTAGAGGAAGGGTATCATGTGCAAATATCAATTTGATTAAGAATGGGGCTGTTTCTATCTCTCATGGTGCATCATGATTCTCCTCACCTAAGGAAATGAATATATCAAAAATTTGAAAAAAAGTATATGCGTAGAATTATTTCTTGTGTATGTGAATGTTGTTTGGGATTTAGGCTCTCTACTAAAAGAAGAGACATGGCACGTGCTTGTTATTTTTGATGAAATGAAACAAATTTCGCATATGTTCTACTAGTATTTGGGAGTAGTAGAATACATATGGTGCAAAATGGATATAGAACTTATATTTTGACTCGAAAAGCATAAAAGATTAAAAAATGCATATAGAACTTATATTTTGACTTGAAGAGTATATAAAAGCTCTTTTGCAAAGGGTCCTCGGGGACTAGGCAAATTCTTTCATGATGAACCTAAGGTTCGTGCTCATTTTATAGACATTAGTACATCCTGTTGCAAAAAAGAAAATGTCCCTATACAAGCTCATGAATAATGTTAGAAGATCAATATTTTAAATGTGAACTTTGAGATCATGTAAGTCTCATTCCATCAACTAATAGTGTGATATGTAGGAGCGATCAACACACTAACCATCTATATGACTATATCAACCTATTGCAATCAACCCTTAAAAAGACTCCGTAATCTTAAAATTATCTCTAAGATCAATTGTCATATAGGTTATGCCTCAAGAGGTATTAGGTTATTAGCATATATCATTAAGTGCAACTTCAATATCTCATCCTAATGTGTGGCCTAGTTCAACTTAACAAAAAACTCCCTTTTACTTCACACACACTAACCTGGAAAAACCATTTCAATATGACTTGATCATAGTCTTTGATGATTGTGATAAATCACATGACTTCACTTACGAGTTATGAACTTAGGATGCACTATCATGATATTTTATGAATATTTTGTGTAAAAATGATTGTCACAAATGGTCAACATAACATTTAATACCTAATGAGTGAATGTTAAAATAGACTAAAATATTTGTTCTCTGAATCTATATTTAATAGGAATCATAGGATGGCATGGAAGTCTCTTTCATTACACATAATTATCACTCTACTTTGGAACTTTGAGCATATCGGCTTGGGTCTAAAGGAGATACTCTCTCCCTTCCTAAAATCCAGTAACTTTTAAAATAATGTTATTTACAAATTATTATAGACATAAGGAAAAACCTATATGAATGCTTTGAGAACTTTGATTCTACAAGAATACTTCAAAAATCAATTAATTACATCATTACTTCCACAATTGTTCTATTTTTACAAGAACTGAAGAATGCTCCACCGGCCACCTCACTTGCATAATCATATTGTGTAATATTTACATGAATTTTAAAAGCGATAATTTCAGAAACAAATCACTCTTTTTTAGTGTTCATATTCTTTTTTCGGTTCTCGCTGTATTATTTCCAACATACAATATACCGAGTAATGGTTACACAATGCAAATCATGAAAATCTCGCCGCTTCGATATAAAAGACATGTACTTACCTTGTTCCAAAAATGTTTCTCAACTTTTTATTTTGGGGTGTTTCATAAAGATTTTCTCATTTTCTCTTTTCGAACCCATTTAAAAGGATATGTAATCCGATATAGAGAGTACTTCTTTATCTTCTAAACAAATTCTAATTAACCACTTTTTACTTTTCAATATTTTTTCAATATTCTTTTATGAGCCCGGTTCCATGGTCACTAGATTCCAGTGACCACGGAAGCCACTGCCCCCCTACGGAGCTGCGTTTATAAAATTGATGATTCCTACCCCTCCTAACCCCTCTGGTAAACCCCCCGCCAAGTCCTGACCCATATTAATCACCCCACCTACGTCAATTGCACCTCGTAAGTATAATTGAAAGGAAAAGAAAAGAAAATGAGTTTATCTTATTTTCGTTACTAAAATGTAAGAAATTTGGTTTTCTCTCCTCTTGGTATACTTTACCTTTTCTCTTTCTTTTCCTCACTAACGAAACTAGAAAAATTATTTTCCATCATTTCTTTTCTTTTCCTTTTCAAATTCTTTGAACCAAACATAGTGCTAGTTTCGTAAAGTGAAACGATAAAGACGTTGTTTGGGAAGAACGTTTTCAATTAGCATTAGCGTTTTGGATAAAATATTAACGGTGTAGATTAATTCAGAAAATGCTAACACTAAAGGCTATCGTCGGATAGTCTTTTCGAAACGTTAACGCTTATGTCAGACGGGGCCAAAATTTGTTTGGGATACCGTGCCAATAATAAGGGTGTGTGTTTGGGCGGGCCATACCCGAAATCCACGAACGTCTAAAGGTCCGCAGCAGTCCTGTTATAGCGCAGGTCCATATCCGTTCTTTTTTAAGGTAGAAATGGGCCGGACGGGCCGACCTTTACAACAAAACCAGAAAATACTGAAACTCAGGGAGCAAAATTCAATTAACTTGTTGTCTTGCTCTCTTTCGCCTTCAGCACAGAAAGGGTTTTCTCTCCAGTAGACGACGGTGGAGAGTCGCAGGGAGGATTGTCGCCGTTCAGTGAGCAATGGCCAGCGCCGTCGTGGAGAAGACGGAGGAGGAGCTAAAGAAGGAAATCGATGAACTCAATCGTCAGCGTCGCGAGGTATAGTTCTCATTGTACTTGTAAATCTTCGCCTTTTTTCTGGGTATGTCTCTCTATTGACATGTTGTTTTTCTCTCAGATAACGGAGCGGCTTCGAGATCCGAGAGGAATTCGACGCGGTGGCTTTACTGGCTCTGGTCCTCGTAATATCGCCGCCAACGGCGGCCGCCAGCGCGGTGTTGTCAGACCGGTAATCCTATTCTACATATTTGTAGGTTTGATTTCGATATCTGGTTGGGTTTTTTAGTACTGGTTCGTTTGATTTTAGGCCGAAGGGAATGATGCTGAGGATCAGCCAATGCCAAAAAGGAGATTGTTATCTGCAGTTGTGAAGGTGGACAGTTTAACCTATTTAGAACTAGAAGTTGTTATGTTTTGCTGGATAAGCTGATTTTGTTTCATATTGGGGTTGGATTGAAGGTTGAAGATGGGGAGATTGTGGATTCTAATCCTGATGCTCCTAAAGAAAAAAAGAAGAAAGAATCTGTTTTTGAGGAAAATGCAGGAAAAGCAGCTGCAGTACAGGGTGAGAGCAGGCCGACAAGCTGGAATAGGAGGGATGAGAGTACTAGGCCTTTCAAGAGGGTAACCTTTTTGTAATGTTTGATGCTTTGACTTGATTGTGTTTCCTCCAAGCTGTCTATCTTTTTTTCTTGTCACAGGCTATAATAGTGAACACTAATTTCATCTCTTATTATGTGATGAAATTAGGTCTCTGATATACCTTTACCGGAGCATGCTCCGAGAGTGTTGCCAAAAGATGAAGATCCTAAATTGGTTAGTAGAAATAAGAGAATGCTCGGTCAGCTCCTGGGGACATTAGAGGTTTGTGCTGCCAACTTTAAATTTAGTTGATGCAATTACAGTTTAAAACTACAATCCTAAACCTTACATTACTGTATTTTGAATTTTTGCATGTTTTGATGTCAATTTTTTTATGTAGTATTTTTTACACCATGCATCATGTTTGAAGAGTAAATAATTTCTTTTTTGTTGGGTACCTTTATTGCATTGGATTTGTTCAGAAATTTAGAAAAGAAGACATGCAGCGTTCTGGGTCTGAAGCATATATGCGGAGGTCAGATTCTTTGAAAAGGGTGAGTTTCTGTTTCCCAGTACACATTACACATTAGTCTTCTTTATGATGATGTGGAATTGGTCGCTAGTTGTGCTTATTGTCAGATGAAGACTATGTTTTTTAGCACCTTCAAATTTATGCATGCAGGCTGAGCAGAAAGCTCGAGAAGAAAGCGAAAGATTAAGGCAGCAAGAGAGAGAACAGATTGTAGAAAAACAAAAAAGGGATCTGGTTAGTTCTTATTTGTTCACGTTATAATTTATTGCTAGTTGTGTTTCTTGTCAGATGAACTATGTTGCTCACAGGTTTTATTTGGTTTCTTCTTGTTTGTCTGTTAAGATTCTTAGAGCACGCATTGCTGCTAAAGCTGAGGAAAAGAGAATGGAGTTGCTGTTTCTTAAGTGGAGCGAGCACAAGAAAAGACTTGGCAATTTTATAAGGTATCTTAACAATAAACACCTCAAATTGAAATGTTTTTGTCACTTCACTTTATCATTGTGATGCAAAATACCAAACCATTAGTGTCCGCTTTCTGTATTTTAGGACAAGAAGCCATGCATTGGCCATATTCTAACTCCAATCTGAAAGCTAGCTTTATTTTCCTTCCATTGTGGGGTTTAGTGGAAGAACCTTTATCTCTTCATAAATTTATCGATCAGCCTCCTTTTTTAGATATTCCATGGTCATCGTACCAGAATCTGTCATCTTCAGTTCACTCCTCTATTTTTGTCAAATCTGCTGCGTTGTTCATGACACATAGTTCATCTCTTCTTTTTGTTTTGCAGGTTATTTCTAATTTTGGTCCAAAAGTGTGACTAATTCACAATTTTATTGATCAAAGATAAGTTTCCATTCATAGCAGAAATGTTGATGCAGCTGAAAATGCTGACAATGCCATGCTTTGCGTGAATTTTGTGGTGATTAGTGGACTTCATTTGGAGGGTTTCAAAAAATTAAATTTATACTTATTGCTTATTTTAAGCAGCTTTCTCAAAGTTGGTGTTTGGTAATGGAAAAATGGAATAAATAAACACTCTAAAACCACGTCATCATAAGGCGAAAGCAGTCAGCTATGTGCATATTGCTTTTGGATTATTTTTCAAACCCTCCCTTAAACCTCATAAGATGAATGGAGTTGCTTTCTTCTTATTAATTTTGGATGCTTTTTGTAAAACGTTCCTATTGTCAAATGGCTTGCAACTGTATCACTTTTTATCTTTCTTTTGTTTTTTTCTTTCAGAACAGAAGCACAACCTCCAATATATTACATGTTTGCCAAGCCATTGGATGATAATGCAATTTTAACAGAGCAAAAAAAGGAGCAGGTCAGCCTCTCTCCCTCTCTCAATGTGGTAGCCATAGTTGGTTTATTTTGGTTGTGAGAGTAAGTAGCTTTCAAAGTAGTAAGCGTTTGGGATGTTATCTCTGATAGAGCCAAAGATTCACTATTTTTTTTGGATTTGGGGTATGATGGAATAAAGCAAAATGGCTCTTTAAACTGTCTGCGCTTCTTTTCATAGTGAAGCAGTAGTTAGTCAATGCGATTTTTTATGTTCATCATGGGTCATCTGGAAACAGCCACCCACTCTGTATTTTAAACATGCGTTTCAGGTTGCATACATCCCCCACCCTCTTATCCCACAATGGGTGGGATTGTTTGTTGGGATGACATATTTTAAGGAATAAGTGATTCGAAGAGGAAGTCATTCAGTCAATTTCCCATAAAACAAACTTTTGGCAGGAGAATTGAGGAAGTGTTACACACATTCGTCGTTCAGAAAGAACTCTGCGAACTAAATTTAAAAAACAATTGATTGTGGCATTTTTTCAGAAAGCACTTGAGGTGTAAAAGAGATATCAGTCATGATAAAAAGCTCTTAAACCTTTAGGGTATGTTTGGAAAGAGGTAAACCAAGGTAACTTAGGCAGATAATTGTAGGTAACAATGATAAAATGTTGTTTGTCTAATTATGAGGCAAGCCAAGGTATGGAAGTAAATAATATGGATTAATAATTCTAAAAAAAGCAATTATTAGGGAGGTGTTCATCTTCTTGCTGTCGTTTCAGTCTTAAAAATGTTCGCTGGAATAATTTGCTCCTCTTTTCACCAGATATTCCAAGAATGGAAAGCTGCCACGAGAGAAGAGCTGTCTCAATACCAGAAAAAAGTAAGCGAAGAATACCTGTCCAACGTTGAGAAAGAGATGGAGAGATGGCAGAATTGGCGAAGAGGGAACAGGAGAGCCAACAACAACAACAATAGCAACACCGCAGATCTCCAAGAAACAATGGACAAGGAGTTGGAAACCCACAGGCTGGAGCACGGACCGAAAACCAGAAAGATCCCGGGAAGCGACAGCAATGACTATGAAGATGATGTTGAAGACATCAATGTTGCCGAGGATGACATGATGATGGACGGCATGCTAGAGGTTGATGACAACAACCAGAGAGTCGGCGACGATGAAACTGCCAAAACTGAGGGTCAGTAGTGTGTGCGCCCCAACACTAGTTTGTATTTGCAATTCTGTCTCAAGGATTTGTTATAATTTCGGCTTGTTTAATGTTGTTTTATTTATAGTATGCCTTATTCAGCTATTTTTTTTGTATCGTTGGTGATGAGAAGTTTCATAGTTTTTGTTCCTGTTGTTTTTTGTATTTATGCAAGTTGTTTGGTTTCCCTTTGAAGTTTGAACGCACTTTTATTGTCATAGAAATCAACTTTGTTGTTGTTCTTGTGTGTATTTTAAACTCAGATTCAAGTCATTCAACTTGATCAAATCAGCTTCTGATGGAAGTAAAAAAAATTGCCTTCATGATCGATCACTCAGTTTTTTCTGGCAGAATTGTTAGACGTTAATGTTAGGTCTAATTCACCCAAATTGGGGTTGTACGGTTGTACCCGAGACTAGAAGAGAGTAAAAGAATAAACATGTGTGTGGGAGTAAATGAGACACAGTAAAATGTACTCCGTATAGTTTTGCTCAAAAACACCTTTGTTAATACTTTCTACTCTTTGAGAAGATTAATTTGAAATGAATGGAATGTTGAAATATTCTTTTATTACTTCGCCTATACCCAAAAACAATGGGTCAGATTCTCATTACTAGTGAAAAAACGTCTTTTTCATACAAAATCTTAATTAACTAAAAAGATTCTTATAAACCAAGACATTATAAAAGAAATGTCACACCAATATTGCAATCAAGTTTAAATGGACAATTTTAGGGTGGTAAACTGATAATTAGGCTATGAAGGCATAAAACTCGTTCACATCATCATATTTTGCAAAGTGTATGTGATGTCTGATGACTGTGCAAGGGTATCTTGCATTTAAGCTTCTGCAATTTTTTTAAAGCTAACATGAAGAAAACAGGGAAGAATTAAGAGAAGAAGAAGAAGATTAGCAAAGTGTGGGTTATATGGGGGTACATTTCTGGCGTGTGTAGAGGTCGCCGCCGGTGAATTTGGCCTGCGCCGGTTCATCTGAAGCCGGACAATCAGCAGTATTCTCATCCGATGGTCCGAAACTTTCCCACCCATTCCCCTCGCTCTCTGAGATGTCATCTGGAGAAATCAACGGCATGTAACGAAGGACTTCACCGTTCTCAAACGTAAAGGCCTTCTTCCGGCGGCCTCTGTTGACCTGAAGCGTGATAGCTGGAGATGGTGGAAAAAGCGTCGGATCGTCGTTTTCAGAGAATTCCGGCACCGGCGGTTCGAATTCAGTAACCGGAGAGAAATATGGAGCGGTTGATGTGTCCGTCCATGCGCCGAACGCCTGTTGAACCTCTGGAGGAAAATACATCATTGTTGGCGGCGAATATGAAGGGGCGATTGAATCACTGCCGTGTTTCTGTAGCGCCGGAGGAAAAGTGGCCGCCATATCATAGTCAATAGGGGCGGCGGCGCTCGGCGGATCTATGAAATTGGAGAGATCAATAGACGGAGATGGCGTCAAATTGAAGCTTTCTCCACTCGGATTGACATCCATTGATGAATTATCAACAGAAAAATTCGTGGACTGCGGCGCCTTTTTGAAGCGATGTGAGACAGGGGAATTGGACTTGGCGATGGTGAGATTGGATTCCGAAGGAGATTCCGTTTGAGTAACCGCCGGCGGTTCACTCCTCGAAGGCGTTGCCGGCTGCCGCACCAGTACATCATCATGAGCTCGACGAGATCTACAGTTGAGAATCCCTTTCAAGCCATGAACCGCGATGTTGCGGGCATAGAACAGTCCTGGCGCGACGACGTCCACGCCGTCGACGGATATGACGTCACCAGACGGTGTAGAGCGACGGCTCTCCACGCGGAGATCATGATCGGCGGCGAGAGTGCGGAGAGATGAACCAGGACGGAGCCTATTGAGGCCGCGGACGGAGAGGCGCTGGGGGACAACGTGGCAGCGGAGAGTGGCGGTGTAATCGGACGCCGAGTTCACCATGTCCAGCGCAAAGAGAGATGAATCGGTCGGGGCGAAGACGGTGAAAGCAGCTTCTCCGCCGTCGACGAGATCGTAGGAGAGGTCGGAGGTGACAATGGCGTTGCTGAAGAGACCGTAGCCGTTGCTTCTCAGAGCAGTCAACATCGAGTCCATCTCTCGCCTCTGGACGGCGGAGACGGCGTCCGATTGGTTCAGGATCACGATGAACAGAACGGCGGCGATAAAACCAGAGGTAGAAGACGCCATTGGAGGAGAGATTGATGCTTCAGTAAGCTAAGTTTGTTGAATTTTGGCGGGGTTTCAGTTGGAAATTCCGGCGAGTCAGGGGGGGCTGTTTATATATCGTCCCTTTACACGAATCCAAGCAACCAATCCCGCATTCGAGCCTGATTTTTAAAACTGATTTAAAAAAATTAAAATATACGGATCTAAAATCAAAACTAAAAAATAGAAAACAAATTACTCCCTCCGTCCTAATTCTTTCTTCCCAGTTTGACTTTTCCCCATTTTTAATTTTTGGCTTTGACTTCAAATTTTACCCTCCTTAAAAAAGATATTTTGAAATTTTTTTTTGCAATCATTCAAAATATAGAGTTAGAAGATAATTGGTGTAAATAAATGAGGGTATTAATGTCATATGTCATCTTTTTTTTCTAATGGGAAGGTAGTTTTAGGACGGGGAAAAAGGGGAAGTGGGAAGAAAGTTTTAAGACGGAGGGAGTAATACAAAAAATGGCGGTGAGATGTAAAACTTAAAAAAATGGAAATAAAAAAAATGATTGAAGCAGGGAAGAAGAAGGAAAAAACAAAATACTCAAAGAATAACAATTTTCATACAAATCTTTATTTTTTAGATAAAGGTAAATTTTTCAATTTCCTAAGTATGGAAATTCAAAATTGTTTGATTTAATTTTATAATATATTTCCAACAGATTGTAACTTTTATTGTCTTTTGATACTTTAAGTAATTTTGAGATATATACATTAATATTACGAATAAAAAACTAAATATTTAAAAGTTTTGGAAAAGAATAAAATAATTATGCGGCACCATTAAATTTTATCCGAAAATATAAAATTATACATAAAAATGAGTAGTAAGATAATAAATCTTATCTTTATAAGTCTATGATTATGAATAAGTCTTACATTAGCAGATTGGTCAAGTTATATTTGGGTTTACTCAGGTTTGACCCTTTTTTAGCGGGGTCATTTTGAGTTTGGTTAACAAAATCTTTATTCAAAGCGTAATATTTTTGAGCTAGTTCAAAAATAAATCGAGTCATTTTTGACGAGTCTAATTACACAATATTCAATAGTAATTAAAAGTTGTTCATTGTGAGGAATTGAATGGAATTAATAAAAACATGACTAGTATAATTTTTTTTATTATATAAATATCAATAAGAACTTGTTTGGTTTTAAGACCCCCGATCATGTTTTAGTTGCAAAATTCACAAAGTTGGAAATTGCCCCTAACAGCAATTCCCGGCCTTGTAATGAAATCTACAAGTAGGGAACACGTAGCAAAATAAATAAGAAGACTTGGAGAAGAAGAAGGGATTTTTTTTGGTTGATGAAGATTGGATTGGGGTGGGGTAAACCCAACATGAAGCCCACCACAATTTACTCTTGGCCCAATACTCACTCGTCCATCGAGGCTGTGGTCGGGCACACGTTGGGCGGCCTCGCGCGTTCGACCCGACCATATGTGTTTCCGTGCTTGGGATTGTTCGTTTTTTATACTTTATCCGTTTCAGAAAACACTTCCTAATTTGAAGAATGATTAAATTGTAGTTGATTTTTTAATTTTGTTTTTGATATAATGAATAAAAGTAAAATGTAATGGATAGATTATTAGAGAAAAAAAAGTATGATATGATGGGTAAGGGGTAAAAAAAGTATGTATAAAAATAGAAAGTAAAAGTAGTTTGATAGAAGAGAAAAAATTAAAGAGGAAGTATTTAACAAACTTAATTATCACATAATTAAGTTTGTTTACGTTCATGAATTGTCATGATTGAAAAACGTAGCTAATCTAGGACTAGGGTTTCTCTATGTTATAAATAGAGACGTAATCCCCTTTTAATAATATATTTCCACCATTTCATAAAATGGTTCATATTTTGACTTTGAGGAGAATTAAGGAGAATTAAGGAGTATATATATTTGTGGTCGACTTTTTAATGTTGTCCTTGATATGATTGTAAAAGTAAGATTTGATAGATAGACTATTAGTGAAAAAGTATGATGTGATGGGTAGGGTGAGAAAAAAGTAAGGGTAAAAATGGTTTTTTTAATAGAAAGTGGAAGTATTTTGATAAAAACAACAAAATGAAAAAAGAAGTATTTTAAGAAATAGAGGGAGTAGAAAATAAAATATTATTATCATCTCTTTTTTTTTTTATTATGGATCAGAGTATGTAAACTTATTACTTTTCCCGTCCCAGTGTATTTGTTCAAATTGGTTTTTCTGAGTCAACAGAGTAAACTTTGATTTTCAATTAAATAAAAATTATAATGTATATTAGTATAATATGCAGTATGAATTTTATCTTATTGTACTAATATGTAATACAATTATCTTCCCGTTGTGCGTTACGTTGTTTGATTGAATCTATTTTCAAATCATTATATATAAAAAATGGTTGAACTGAAAAATAAAAATTACGGAGTATATACTTAAAAACTACATCAAAAGGTCCACTCTGTAAAAAATTAGAGGTGATATTACTATATTATTTTATCAAATGGACAGCAAAATAGGACAAAAAAGTGAATAAAATTTGAACCCGTGAATAGTGAACGAAAAATAATTTGTAGACAGAAGGAGTAATTTTTACCACGAAATTTGTAGCTACTTGCTTACAACTCCGCAGGTTGGGGGATATTTCACTTAAACACAAACGATTATTGTCTGGGGAGAAAGACCAAAGTAGGACTAAAACATTGAAAATACACCAAAATAGGACTTACAGTTTTTATTCCCGAAATAGGACTTACATTACCAAACATGGTCATATACATTACCAAAAAAGTATAGTAATGTGCACATGTACAATGCCACATTACCACAGTGCAAAGACACATTACCACAGTGCAAAGTCCTATTTCGAGAAAAAAAAATAAAAGTCCTATTTTAGTATTTTTCTCTATGTTTTAACTTTATTTAGGGTGATTTGTATATTGTCTGTATCAAGCATCTACTAAGGGGGTGATGGCTATAAACCACCGAGAGTATGAAATAATATAAAGTTTTAGAGAGAGAGAGAGAGTGTGTGCGCAAAACAGGAGTATATTGAATTCAAAATTCGGTCCATTACAATGAGGGGTGCCACCCCTTTTATAGGGGGTAAAATACACTAAGTCAAAGCCCTCTGATCGAGGCCCGTCGTTTAGCGGACGTCACCTGTCCTTAGGTCTAGTCCCTTTCATCCTATCGCTTTCACCAAGTCTTCGTTGAACGTTGTTTTCCGCCCGTCTTGTCCCTTTCATCCTATCGCTTTCCTCGAGTCTCCGTTGAACGTCACTTTCCGCATGTCATTGTCGTGGGGCTCGGGCTCGGCTTGGTCGGCCGAGCAGGGAGGACGAGCAGAGCGCAGAGCCGGGCAGGAATGACGAACGGAGCGCAGAGCCGGGAAGGAATGACGAGCGGAGCGCAGAGCCGGGCAGGAAGGACGAGCAGAGCCCCCCAAGCCCGGTCCTTTGGAAATTTATGCTGATGTCAGCCCTAGGCTGGTGTGGGGTTATTCCCCATCAGAAGCCCCCCACTCTCCGGGTTCCATGGCACCTAGCAGTGGAGCGCGTGAGAGTAGAAAGCACCGTGTTCGGTCAGCTCGTGGGCCCATGCAAAGCTTGGCGGGCAGGCGGTGACGCTTGGAGTTCCCCGCGTACGGTTGTGGCGCTTTGCTTCTCCCAATCGGCGGCCCAACCGTGGTACTTGCTTGGCCCATCACTATTTGGGCCCAATTTTAGTATAAATAACCCCAAAGCTTCCTTCATTCTCACCAATTCTAGAGATAGAAAACATTAGGGTTTGGCTTCACTCGCTGTGCCGCGCCGCTGCTCTCTGCCTCCCTGTTCACGCGTCGCCGTTCGTCGTTTCCCGCTCTCCCCCGGCGACGCTCCTTCGAGGTCAGTTCTTCTGCCTGCTATTTCATGTCTATCGCGTCGTCCCCTGTTCCCTCGTCCGATGCCGAGCGCGAGCTCGGTCCCGGCAGTCGGGGTTCCGTGGCCCAGGGCGACCGATCGGAGCAGCCGGGTTCTCCGTCCCTCGAGGAGGTCGCGGTTGTTGAGGTGCCCGGGGTTAGCGACCATCGCCTCCAGAGGCGCACCTTGCTCGTGGACTCGCTCATTCGCGAGTGCAAGTGCGACTTGTCGAGTGACGAGTTTCTCAGGGCGATGCGCTACGCCGGCCCCCTTGTCAATGTCCGTCGCCCTTCCCCGGATGAGTCCGTCTTCGACGCTCCTCCGGGCTACTTTGCCGTCCATCTCAAGTCCCTTGAGAGCGGCTTCTGCTTCCCTTTGGAGTCCTTGGTCACCGACTTTTTCAAACACTTTGACTTCCTCCCGTGTCAATTGGTGCCGAACTCGCACCGGTACTTGGCGGGGTTCTTGATCCGCTGTCGGGAGACGGGTGTGCGGGCCGACCTTGAGCGCCTACTGACCCTGTTCCGAGTGGCGAAGTCTTCCGGGTCGGATGGGGGTTCTTTTGCCGCCCTCTGCCAGCGGCAAGAGAGACTTTTTAGAACGAAGAAGGAATCCAACAGGACTTGGAAGTCCAAGTTTGTTTTCGTCTCCGTGGGGGCGGCCTCCCCCTTCCGAGACACTCCCCTCAGCTCTTTTCGTAGACGGTCAAAACCCTTTGCCTCTTCCAAGGCTATTGCTGACACGGACAAGTTGTGTTCGGGCGGCCCTTACGAGCCCGGGGTCTTAGTGAACGACGAAGCTCTCGCCAAGCTCGGGTTCGTCTTCCATGATGAAGACGAGCCCAAACGCCGGGTCGTCCAGAGTCAGCTTGAGGAGGGGCCATCAGGTTTTCTTTGTTCAATTCTTTGGCGGATTTATACTCCGTTCGCAATTTGTTCAGGGGATTTGAACTTATCTCTCACTTTTCTTGCAGGTGAAATCATGCTCTCCGCAGCCGATCGGAAGAAGCTGTTTAAGTCTAAGGCGCGCGCGGAGTCCAGCCAAGAACGGCCTCCGCTCCCAACTCCCGCACCGTCTGCCGAGCATGCCCAGGCGAGGAAGAAGCGCAAGGAGGTGAGCTCCTCGGCGGAAGGGGCTTCGCTGAGCGGGGCGAGGTCTCCACCCTCGCGCTCGGTGGACTGCGGGAACCCGGCCTTCGTGAAGGTAGCGTTCCCCCTCAAACCTTCGTTCTTGCATGGGGACTATGAGCCTCGCCGTTTTCTGCAGAGCTTCATCCCTCCGCCAGACCGAATGGAGATTAGTTCGGCCGCCATGCAGGACCTCGCCTCCACTCTCTTGCTCGAGTTAGGCTCGGTAAGCATTCTTTGCTCAGGTATGCCGTGCGTTTCTGCCCGACACTTAGATGGATTCTAACAAATTTTGCCGGAATTTCACTGCTGTTGTAGGTGGCCATGCGCGCCCCAGAGCTGGTGGAGCGCTTCGAGTGGTATGTGGCGGAGAAGGCCAAAGGCGAAGAGGAGCTTCGGAGGCTGCAGGAGCGCGTGGCTGGCCTCGAGGGGAAGCTCACCGATGCGGAGGAGCGGGCTCGAGTTGCGGAGCAGGCCCGCATTGCTGCTGAGGAGAAGGTGCGC